AGGGGCAAGCATGAAAAATAATCAACGTTTCCGGAAAGACTTGTTTTAAAACACGACACCATTATTTGATGTGAATAACATATATTTATCGCCCCATCGTGTTTTGAAGCAAAATCGTATACGTTTAAAAAAGTCAAGGAAAATAAGGGTAAATAGGGACAAGCACGAAAAAATAATCAACGTCTCCAGTAGGACTTGTTTTCGAACACGACACCATTATTTGATGTGGATAAACATAAATTTATCGCCTCACCGTGTTTTGAAGCAAAATTGTATACGTTTAAAAAAGTCAATGAAAATAAGGGTAAATAGGGGCAAGCACGAAAAAATAATCACTGTCATTGGAAAGACTTATTTTCGAGCACAACACCATTATTTGTGGTGGTTAAGATATATTTATTTCCCCATCGTGTTTTGACGCAAATTATACGTTTAAAAAAGTCAAGGAAAATAAAGGTAAATAGGGGCAAGCACAAAAAAATAATCAACATCACCGAGAAGACTTGTTTTCGAACACGACACCATTATTTGATGAGGATAACATATATTTATCACCCCATCGTGTTTTGAATCAAAATCGTAAACGTTTAAAAATGTCAAGGAAAATAAGGGTAAATAGGAGCAAGCACGAAAAAATAATCAACGTCTCCAGTAAGACTTGTTTTCGAACAAGGCACCATTATTTGATGTGGATAAACATATATCTATCCCCATCAAGTTTTGAAGCAAAATCGTATACGTTTAAAAAAGTCAAGGGGAATAAGGGTAAATAGGAGCAAGCACAAAAAAATAATCACCGTCTCCAGAAAGACTTGCTTTCGAGCACAACACCATTATTTGTTGTGGATAACATATATTTATCGCCCCATCGTATTTTGACGCAAAATCGTATACGTTTAAAAAGTCAAACTAAATAAGTGTAAATAGAGGCAAGCATGAAAAATAATCAACGTCTCCGAAATGACTTATTTTCGAACACGACACCATTATTTGATGTGAATAACATATATTTATCGCCCCATCGTGTTTTGAAGCAAAATCGTATACGTTTAGAAATTCAAGGAAAATAAGGGTAAATAGGGGCAAGCACGAAAAAATAATCAACGTCTCTGAAAAGACTTGTTTTCGATCACGACACCATTATTTAATGTGGATAACATATATTTATCACCGCATCGTTTTTTGAATCAAAATCGTATGCGTTTAAAAATATCAAAGCAAATAAGGATAAATAGGGGCAAGCACGAAAAAATAATCATCGTCCCCAGAAAGACTTTTTTTCGAGCACTACGCCATTATTTCTTGTGGATAACATATATTTATCGCCCCATCGTGTTTTGAAACCAAATTGTATACGTTTAAAAAACTCAAGTAAAAAAAGGGTAAATAGGGGCAAACACGAAAAAATAATCAACGTCTCCGGAAAGACTTGTTTTCGAAGACGACACCATTATTTGATGTGGATAACATATATTTATCGCCCCATCGTGTTTTGAAGCAAAATCGTATATGTTTAAAAAGTCAAGGAAAATAAGGGTAAATAGGGGCAAGCACGAAAAAATAATCAACGTCTCCAGAAAGACTTGTTTTCGAACCTGACACCATTATTTGATGTGGATAACATATATTTATCGCTCCATGGTGTTTTGAAGAAAAATGGTATACGTTTAAAAAGTCAAGGAAAATAAGGGTAAATAGGGGCAAGCACGAAAAAATAATCAACGTTTCCGGAAAGACTTGTTTTCGAACACGTCACCATTATTTGATGTGGATAAAATATATTTATCGCTCCATCGTGTTTTGAAAAAAAATCGTATACGTTTAAAAAGTTCAGGAAAATAAGGGTAAATAGGGGCAAGCACGAAAAATAATCAACATCTCCGGAAAGATTTGTTTTCTAACACGACATTATTATTTGATGTGTATAACATATATTTATCACCCAATCGTGTTTTCAAACAAAATCGTATAAGTTTAAAAAAGTGAAGGAAAAAATAAGGGTAAATAGGGGAAAGCACGAAAGTATAATCAACGTCTCTGAACATATTTGTTTTCGAACACGACACCATTATTTGATGTGGATAACATATACTTATCGCTCCATGGTGTTTTGAAGAAAAATGGTATACGTTTAAAAAGTCAAGGAAAATAAGGGTAAATAGGGGTAAGCACGAAAAAATAATCAACGTCTCCGGAAAGACTTGTTTTCGTACACGACACCATTATTTGATGTGGATAACATATATTTATCGCTCCATCGTGTTTTGAAAAAAAATCGTATACGTCTAAAAGGTCAAGGAAAATAAGGGTAAATAGGGGCAAGCACGAAAAATAATCAACATCTCCGGAAAGATTTGTTTTCTAACACGACATTATTATTTGATGTGTATAACATATATTTATCACCCAATCGTGTTTTCAAACAAAATCGTATAAGTTTAAAAAAGTCAAGGAAAAAATAAGGGTAAATAGGGGAAAGCACGAAAGTATAATCAACGTCTCTGAAAATATTTGTTTTCGAACACGACACCATTATTTGATGTGGATAAACATATATTTATTACCCCATCGTGTTTTGAACCCAAATCGTATATGTTTAGAAAGTCAAGAAAAATAATGGTAAATAGGGGCAAGCACGAAAAAATAATCAACGTCTCTGAAAAAACTTGTTTTCGATCGCGACACCATTATTTAATGTGGATGACATTCATTTATCACCGCATCGTGTTTTGAATCAAAATCGTATACGTTTAAAAATGTCAAGAAAAATAAGGGTAAATATGGTCAAGCACGAAAGAATAATCAACATCTCCGGAAAGATTTGTTTTCTAACACGACATTATTATTTCATGTGTACAACATATATTTATCACCCAATCGTGTTTTCAAACAAAATCGTATAAGTTTAAAAGAGTCGAGGAAAAAATAAGGGTAAATAGGGGAAAACACGAAAAAATAATCAACGTCTCTGAAAAGATTTGTTTTCGAACACGACACCATTATTTGATGTGGATAAACATATATTTATTGCCCCATCGTGTTTTGAAGCAAAATTGTATACGTTTAGAAAGTCATGAAAAATAATGGTAAATAGGGGCAAGCACGAAAAAATAATCGACGTCTCCGGAAAGACTTGTTTTCGAGCACAACACCATTATTTATTGTGGTTCACATATATTAATCTCCCCATCGTGTTTTAACGGAAAATCGTATACGTTTAAAAAAGTCAAGGAAAGTAAGGGTAAATAGGGGCAAGCACGAAAAAATAATCAAAATCATCGAAAAGACTTGTTTTCGAACACGACACCATTATTTGATGTGGATAAACATATATTTATCGCCCGATCATGTTTTGAAGCTGTAATATCCCGATATTTTATCGGTATAAATTATGTTTTAGTTCCGATATAATAATGTTATCGATTATTATTTCCGGAATTAGTTATTGTCGGTCGAGATTACCGAAATTCATTTTCGACGTACCGTTTACGTTCGGAATAATTTTGATAATTAAGCATTATTTTTAATTAAATAATTAAACATAAGTAGATGTTTAATTTAACATTAATTATGCAATTAATGTTAAAAGTCGGAACCTATATCCAATAAAGCCGTATGGATATGGTGCATTTAGTTCCAAATTCCCTAAGAAAACCGTACGGTATGAACAAATTAATTTCCCATTTGGTAAGTATTTTCCTAAGCCTTAAGGAGCAAATTTCTTCCAATTCTTTAACTTCACACGTGGCATTAAGAGGTGTGTTGGTAGATGACTAATCCCTCTTAGTCCTTAGTTTAGAAGCAAGTGTTTAAAGCTTAAGCAAGCCACGCATCCACTTCGTCACCAATCTTAACTTTCGGCTATAGTATATAAGGGTGGGTTTGGACGAAATTTTCCTTACTTTTTCCATAAGATATACTAGGCACATCCCCTCCCAAATATTGCATACAATCAGCAACCTTTAGGAAGGCCAAGTTCACTCCTCACGCACGACAATTAACGAGTAGACGCACGGCACGCACGCGAGGATCACCGGAGGTCACATTCAGCTTGTACTTCCATCGAGCACTTGAGGAGGTAGAGTGATATTGAACCCCTTTTCATGTTAATAGGTCCATTTAAGGCTGAATTGTTCGGTTCATATGCAAGAAATTCCTAGTTATGCCATGATACGCTCGGTTTAGGCCATTTGAGGCCATGACCGAGTATGCTCTCTTTTTATTCGGCAATCTTCGAGAAATTCATGTTTAAATGATCATTATAAGTCATTTCATAGTAAGTTACTCCATGTTGGTCGAGGCAAGTAGACGTTCGGTCGAGCATTTGGCTTAAAGCCAAGGACCGCACATGGTGTGCGTGTCACGGCCGTAGCATGTCATCTTTTATTATTGTCATGTTTGTTCGAACAATTGGTGTTTAAATGATCAAGTTAGGTCATTCTATGTTCAGTTGGCTCATGTTGTTCGAGAAGTTTTCATGTTTGATGAGGAGTTGGTCATAAGCCGTAAGCCTCGCACATAGCGAGCGCACCACGGCCATATGTTTGGTCCATTGAACAAGTTCAGCGCTTTTCATGTAAATTCAGTATATTAGTAATGTTAAGTCAGATGATGTTGTTTAACGTTGAAGTTGTCGGAAAGAAACACCGGACGGCCGGCAAGGGTCGGCCGCGGGCCGTGCTGTCCGCACATAGCGGCAGTGCCCAGCAGTGCCTGCGCCCGCGCACATAGCGCAGGGCAGTGCTCTGACCGATGCTGCGCTGCGCATGACGCACGCATGCATCTCGCCACTTAGCTATGCGTCCAGTGCATGCCGCACGTACCCAGCACGCCCGACAGCGTTCCATATGTGCTCAGCAGGTCTCGGTGTTGTCCGGTAGCACGCCGAACGTCCCGTCAGTTCAGTACGCGCAACCTGCGCGCCAGCCACCTGCCGACAGCGCACAGCAGCGCCCGGCAGTGCTTGTCCATGCCCGTGCTGTCGCCAGTGTTCGCGGCAGTAGCCAGACGGGTCCAGCAAGTACCCAGTGCAGGCCAACCGTGGTCAGGTGCACGCAGCACTCTCGGCCACGGCCTTGGCAGGCAGGCGCGACGGCCGTGCCCGCACCCGTTCAGCCAGCAGTCGCACCACGACCATGGCAAGGCCGTGGGCCGAGTCAGCCACCAGCGGACCAGTCCGAGCAGACCGGCAGTTCGGTCGGACCGGTTCAGACCGGTTAAAACCGGTTTGACCCAAATAATGTTATATTAGTCCCGGTTCAGCCCTATTTTTAAATCGGTTCGGTTCTTATGTTAAGGTTTCAGCCCGGTTCATGATTTTAATGATATTTTCAGTTAAATTTCCGGGATTATTTCAGTTTAGTAAATTCATGTCCGATCAGTTCATGTCAGTTCAGTTCTGGTTATTCCGGTTAAGTCTAAATATCATGTCAGGTTCAGTAGAGCATCTTAACGAAATTAATCAGTTAAGTTAACAGCCTGAGCATAGTCATTAGTAATTGTTTATATTATTTTCAGTTTGATCAGGCATCAGCATTACCGTTCAGTTCAGCAGTTCAGGTGGGGAGTCAGACTAAGTACTACATTGATTATAATTACGGTACCATGTTTGAGTTATGTATTTCAGTTGAGGTATCCGCTCGGAATGGTCGCCGGTCCATTCTGGGTTCTAGTGGCCCTAGTCTGCCCACTAGAGTGTGCACATGGTGTCCGGCATTAGTTTTTTCCGGCAGATGAGGTAACGGTCAGGGTCACGTTTGCGTGACGATTTCAGATTCATGTTCATGTTATTACCGGCTTGAGGTTGAGGTTATGTATATACTGATATCATATGTTGTTATTATTTTCAATGTTTACATTAGTATGAGTTTCCACGGAGCACAGTGCCATAGTGCTCATTTCCCACTTTTATCATGTTTTTCAGGTCAGGACGTCGGGCCGGGAGCATGAGCTGACGGAGGCTTCAAGACATTTATGTTTTGACTGTATATGTATATTGATGATTTACGTTTCCGCTGTTGATGACTTGTGACGTACTTATCTTTTGACGAACTTTTGGAAAACTTTATGCTTTCAGTAACCGGATGATTTTATTAAAAACTAAAATAACGGTTTTCCAAATTAAGTCACGATTTTAAGGTAGCACCCCGAATCAATTTTCGTAAAGTAAAATGCTTTATTTTTTAATAACTTTGCGAAATTTTCGCACTCTGATTTAACGATAAGGAGGGGTGTTACAATTGGTATCAGAGCATGTTTCTGCGTCTCTGAAAAGTTTTTCAGTCAGTAATTTTTCAGAAAAACCTGAACCGTCATGCTCACGCGCCGCCGACGACAGGTAAGTGCTGATTTATGTTTTAAGTAATAAACATATTACTATGTCTATGCTCAGAACTAATGATCAGGACTTTAGTTAAGATGCTCAAATCAGATTCAGACTTTAGAATTCGGACATGACTCTAGAATTCTGGGCATTCAGATATGACTCTAGACATTAGGATCTTCCTATATGACTCTAGAGTTCTTCAGGATTCACGTCAGTATTTATCGGCCACTTTTGGCGACTCGTCAAGAGATTTGTGTGCCTTAGTAATCAGTCAGAATGTTATCACGTATTCAGTAATGTTAAACTTTCTCAATGTTCAGATGCCGCCACGTAGGGAACCCGATCATCAGGCTCCTACTCAGGCTACTGTAGTCGCTCAGTTCCGCGACTACCACGCTGAAAAGTTCTCAGGGCAGGGAGATCCCCGCATCGTTGATGAATGGATTCAGGGTTTAGAGTTTATCTTTGAGGTCATGGACTGCCCCGATAGATATCGCGTAATCTGCGCTCAGCTTCAGCTCACTGGTGATGCTAGGCTCTGGTGGAATGCCTACTGGAGCATGCGTCCCGGTGAAAAAGCAGGTTGTACATGGGACATGCTCAAAGAGCTAGTCCGCGAAAAGTACTACCCCTCCTACTATCGGGCAGAGATGGAGCGTAAGTTCTTAGCGCTCCAGCAGGGCACTCGTACGGTTGATGAGTACGAGCGAGAGTTCACTAGACTTGCAGCTTTCGTACCGGACCTGGTTCGCACGGAGGCTCAGAGAGCGCAGCGGTTCATCGATGGGCTTTTCCCAGCAGTCCGTCACAACATCGTGGGACACGGGACTCAGACCTATGCTCGTGCAGTTTCTATCGCCCAGGAGGTGGACGCTAGCATCAGGAGGGAGACCGTCCGTGATCGTGCCCAGCCATCTGCCCCAGTTCTGCCATTTGTAGCTCCACCAGCCCTACCAGCTGCTCAGCCGACGAAGGAGAAGAAGAGGAAGGGGAAGGGTGCACAGACTAACCGGAGGACCCGACAGAGACAGCAGCCGATTCCACCGTGCCCGAGTTGCGGACGACTTCATCGGGGAGAGTGCCATGTGGGTCAGGATATCTGCTACTACTGCCACGAGCCGGGACATTTTGCGAGTCGCTGTCCGAAGAGACTTCAGCAGCAGCCTCAGCAGCCTCAGCACCCACTACAGCAGCAGTAGCCACGTCAGCAGGCACAGAGGCCGCCTCAGCAGCAGTAGCAGAGGGGCAGACAGCAGGCCCGGGTTTATGCGGCTGATCAGGCAGCGGCAGCACAGCAGCCAGGTACTATGTCAGGGATGGTTGTTCTCAATGATATTCATGTGTTTGCTTTATTCGATACTGGAGCGACACATACTTTCATTTCACGACGATGTCTCGATGCCATCGGAGTTCACGCCGTTACCGCTGTCGATCCTCTCGAGGTGAGTTTAGCCTCGAGACGAAAGATAGTGACCTCAGCTAAAGCCTCAGATCTTAGCCTTTCCATCGGTGGCCGAGTATTGACTGCCGACGCGTTTGTTCTCGAGATGAGGGACTTCGACCTTATTCTCGAAATGGATTGGCTATCCTTCTATCATGCAAATATCAGATGTCATGACCGGGAGATCACTCTTTATCTTCCGGGAGACGAATCGATCACTTTCTTCGGCTCCAGGAATCATTCACTGCCGCATGTTGTTTCGATGGCAAAAGCCACTAAGCTACTGCGACGAGGCTACTGCCAGGGTTATCTGGTGAGCCTTGTCGACGATTCTCAGAAAGCACGCTCACCTCATGATGTTCCGATCGTTCGCAAGTTTGTGGACGTGTTCCCAGACGAGCTTCCAGGAGGACCTCCTAACCGGCAGGTGGAGTTCTCTATCGATCTCATTCCAGGGGCCGGTCCAGTATCCAAAGCCCCGTACCGTATGGCGCCTAAGGAGTTGCCGGAGCTTAAGGTGCAGATTCAAGAGTTGTTACGACTCGGTTTCATCCGACCGAGCGTGTCACCGTGGGGAGCACCCGTTCTCTTTGTTAAGAAGAAGGACGGATCCATGCGCATGTGTATCGACTACCGGGATCTTAACTGGTTGACGATCAAGAACAAGTACCCGCTTCCCAGGATCGACGACTTATTTGATCAGTTGAGGGGAGCTTGTGTATTCTCAAAGATTGATTTGCGATCAGGCTACCACCAGCTGAAGATCAAGGAGTCAGATATCGCTAAGACCGCTTTCAGGACTCGTTACGGCCATTACGAGTTCGTCGTCATGCCATTCGGTCTCAGCAATGCGCCAGCTGTTTTCATGGACCTCATGAATCGTATTTTCCATCCCTACCTCGATCAGTTCGTTATTGTCTTTATTGACGATATCCTTATTTACTCGAAGAGCCAGAAGGAGCACGAGGAGCATCTGAGGGTGGTTCTTGAAACCCTCAGACGAGAAAAGTTGTACGCCTAATTCTCCAAATGCCAGTTCTGGCTCCAGCGAGTATCCTTTTTGGGTCATGTGATTACTCAGGCCGGTATTGAGGTGGATCCTTCCAAGGCCTCAGCCGTTCAGAACGGGTCGACACCGAGGAGTCCGTCCGAGGTTCGCAGTTTTCTCGGTTTAGCTGGTTACTATCGCAGGTTCATCGAGGGCTTTTCCAAGATCGCCCTCCCTCTTTCCCAGCTGACGAGGAAGTCTGTGAAGTTCGAGTGGACTGATCATTGTGAGGCAAGCTTTCAGGAGCTCAAGAGAAGATTAACATCAGCACCGATGTTGACTATTCTCGATCCTTCTCGGAGTTTCACTATCTTCAGCGATGCTTCGAGACAGTGCTTGGGGTGTGTCCTTATGCAGGACGGCCAGGTCGTCGCGTATGCTTCACGTCAGCTTAAGCCGCATGAGCAGAACTATCCGACGCACGACTTGGAGTTAGCAGCAGTCGTACATGCTCTCAAGATATGGCGACATTATCTTTACGGCGGATGTTGCGAGATTTTCACAGATCATAAGAGCCTGCAGTATATTTTTACGCAGAAGGAGCTTAATATGAGGCAGCGCCGTTGGCTCGAACTTGTCAAGGATTACGACTGCTCTATTCAGTATCATCCGGGAAAGGCGAACGTCGTCGCAGACGCCCTTAGCCGAAAGGTGAAGGGTGACTTGACGTACGTCATTACTCAGCAGAGTCCATTGATTCAGGAGTTTGTCCGGATGCAGCTTCAGGCGATTGATGCACTTCCCATAGCCATTTCGGGGAATACCAGTGCCATTGTCAGTGCTATGCAGCTTCAGCCGACGCTGAGAGAGAGAATCCGGCGAGAGCAGGCTTCTGACGAGTTTATTCGTGTCATGGAGGCCATGGTTCGCGCCAGAGGTGTCGAGGATTTTCAGTTAGGTGCCGATGGTGCCTTAAAGTTCAGAGGCAGGATCGTGGTCCCGAAGGTCGAGGCGTTCCGGAAGGAGATTTTATCAGAGGCTCATACCGCACCCTATTTGGCCCATCCCGGGAGCACAAAGATGTATCACGACCTGAAAGGGTCGTTCTGGTGGTGAGGCATGAAGAAGGACGTCGCCGAGTTCGTCAGAAGATGTCTTACCTCTCAGCAAGTCAAAGTCGAACATCAGAGTAAGATCGGCCTCCTGCAGCCACTACCGATTCCGAGGTGGAAGTGGGAGGAAGTCACGATGGATTTCGTCACGGGATTGCCGAGGTCGTCTGAACATCACGACGCTATCTGGGTCGTGGTCGACAGATTGACTAAGGTCGCGCATTTCTTACCCGTTTCGATGAAGATGTCTCTGGACAAGTTGGCTGAGATATATACCCGTGGGATCATCCGACTCCACGGAGTGCCCGTTACGATCGTATCAGACAGAGATCCTAGATTCGTCAATCGATTCTGGCACAGTTTACATGAGGCGATGGGCACGAAGCTAGAGTTCAGTTCAGCCTACCATCCGGAGACAGATGGTCAGTCCGAGCGGACCATTCAGACGCTTGAGGATATGCTTCGTGCTTTGGTTGTTGACAGGGGTGCTAAGTGGGAGTCGTTGTTGCTGTACGCCGAATTCTCGTATAACAACACCTATCATTCTTCCATTCAGATGGCTCCTTACGAGGCACTTTATGGTCGCAAGTGTCGTTCCCCTCTCTATTGGGACGACGCCGGAGAGCGGCGAGTACTCGGTCCTAAGATGATCGAGGAGACAGCAGAGCAGGTCGAGTTGATCCGGCAGAGACTCAGAACAGCTCAGAGTCGACAGAAATCTTCCGCCGATCATCATCGACGAGACATTCAGTTCGAGGTTGGCGAGCCAGCCTTTCTCAGAGTTCGTCCGATTCATGGAGTTGTGCGATTCGGAAAGAGAGGGAAGCTGCACCATCGGTTCATCGGTCCGTTCGAAGTTCTCGAACGAGTAGGCGAGGTCGCATATCGTTTAGCCCTATCTCCCGAGTTATCAGACATTCATAATGTTTTCCACGCCTCTATGTTGCGTAAGTACGTGGGCGACCCCGATCATGTTATCCCTCATACGGATATTCAGGTTCAGCCAGATCTATCGTACGAGGAGCG